GTGAACCTAACTGAAAACAATATTAAAATCCATGAGAAAAACGATATAGGATATTCCAAAAAGACATACCCAGGATGTGTAATGTTATTACGACATACGACAATCGCCGTGGGTTACCAAGGGCTCGAGCATCCCTTAAATTAGCAGACTAATCGGCCGCGCTGGCCCTGAGAGGGTTGATTGAATATTGGATCCAATACATCATTATTGGATTCAAAACATTTACCTCTAATATTTAGCTATGCGTGTAGGAAAAGACTACGGATAGTTTTGTACAGCGTGAGTAGATTTGTTGTATCAGAACTTAGCATAACGAAGAACGTGCTATCGTACCTATATTCTATTTAACCGTCTGTTAAACATCATGAAGTGTTTAAAAAAGGAACATTTCCTCCAAGAACGATAACCCCTCAACTTCCTTTACCATTAACTATCGATCTAACCGATAGAGCTATTGAATTCCTTGTTCTGGAATTATAGAACAAAAAGCAATCGCATACCGCGCATAGCTCGCGTGGGCAATGGGTACATTGTTCCCAGCAAAAACAATATGGCGTCCACAGCTGTTAACTTACATCCTGCCAGCTGGTACGTAGGACATCTGCATTTCACGGATGAATACATTTTGGACACGCAACCTGATTGACTGGACATAACTGACAGCCATCACGTGATTATACGAAAATCACACAATTAACTGATTTAAAAACTAGCTGTTGCCTGCGACTTCGTCAACGCAATATTAAGATAAAAATGCTTTTTTTATGCCCGTCTATAATATGCCCGTCCTAGTGCCGTGCCCGTGCCTCGTCGAAAGTCCGGTCATAATTGGCCCAACCGTGTCGGAGATTACCCGCAACATACGCGGCTTGCGGACAGACAGGCAGACAAAAATTAAAATGCGATTTTTGTTATCAGCAACATTATCTTCCCGAAATCTGGAAGTTTTCTTTTGATATTACAAACAGACACTCCAATTTCATTATATGGATATAAGATAATAGGGTAATATTAGCAAAGAAAAGACTTTACAACTTATGCTACAACGAACATTTAAGAGATGATAAGAGAGACGGATGCACTTTCAAATTAATGCTAAAGTCCAGCATAAACATAAGTATTATCGGAAACCGACAAGCAATTCCTACAACAAGTTTAACTTCTAATCTGACGATTAATAAAATCCTAGAATCATTTGAAACTTTATTAGAAATCCTATTAGATACTCTCAAGACTAAAGAATGCGGGGTAGTTCGTGTAATCAATTGAACTTCACAAAAAAGCTGTTAAGTAACTAAGTGTACGCAACCGCGAAGGAGTGACTGCTCACATTTAAGACAAAACAACTCAACTTGTTGACAAACCACTCCCGCGCGCACAAGGTCATCGACCGGCGGCAAATCATTCAATCATATTACCGTGTAAACGAGTATCGTTCTCCGCATGTGTGTGTGATGAACGAACTAATCTGTTCCCGTCTTATCTACACAGGTACAGATTATATTCGCATTATTTCATACTACCCTGTCCATGGCAAAGATTAAAGAGTCGTAAATGTCGTGGAATTGTCTCTATAAAGCTTAAACATAATCCTACTAGATACGTATGAAACTTCTTTTAGTCGTAAATTGCGTGGAATAATTATAGCTTATCTAAAGAAGTCAACTTTGCTATCCTTGATCCCCCTCTATCTATCTTACTCTGTATCTATCTTACTAAACTTACTATAATATTATAAATACGAAAGATTTGATGGTCGGATGGATGGATGTTAGAGTTTGCAGCCTAAACGGCTAAACGGATCTCGATGACATTTGGCATAGATGTGGAGGATAGTCTGGAAGAACACATAGGCTACTTACTTTTGTTTTTTTAATTTCACGCGGACGGAGTTTCAGGCGAAAGCTATAAATAAATTTATATTTAGGTTGAAGAGATCCCAAATAATGAAAAAATATTATCACCCATCTCGTTCTTATTGAACAATAAACCCAATCATTTGTTTCTGCAGTTGAAGCGTGGGCTTCGGCGGGCTTCGGCAACCGTGGGGTTTGGCGGTTAAATTGTTTGAATTACCACCCATATTAAATAAAATAAATAAATAAATAAAATCCCCTTTATTGTCATCATAATCATTTACATGCAGTGAATATATTATATTAAAAATTATTTTTTTATTGCTACGGACCATAAAAAACGACACGTTTGATGACAGGTTGAGAAAATTCTGTGCAGAAATTAAAATGTAACATTCACAAGGCACTTAATTGTAAAGGCCTTTTATGGTTATATTTTAATGTAAATACTTTCATCGTTTATCTCAATCAAACAGCACAGATATCCATGTAAGCAAGTGAAGTACCAAATATAACGGAGCTACGGACATTGTATATTAAACTGGATACGAAGAATGTAAAATTAAAATAAATGCGTGAAACTGGTGCATACGTTTTTGCAATTCTTTCCCGACTGTCATGTATGTAACTAAAAATTAAAAAAAAAATCATTGCCATGAAAACTAAAAACATTTTTAAGTGGAAAAAATACCAGAACATATTAACGGTTTGTTTAAATTCATCATCATCATCCTCCTTATCCTACTCCCGTAGGGTCGGCGCAATAGGTTTTGTCCTCCAAATAACTCTATCATACGTCATCTCAGTCATCACTCCCTTTTCGATCATGTAACCTTTCACGCAATCCATCCATCTCTTTCTAGGATTAAATTTAAATTAGCATATTAGTTATATGGCGTATTCGAAATAAGCCGTTTTCGTTTAACCTTTGACACAACTTGAAGTTAAAAAACAACTTCATTAACATAAATTAGATATTCATTTGTTTTTAATATTTTGATACATAATTCATTTTCAGTTCAATTCCATAAAACAAATGAAAGAACCACATTTAGAGTGTTCTTTATTTAGCAAGTAACTCGAAAATTTCGTCATTGTTTGGTAATCTTAACAAGAAATGTAAACGTACTCAAAACATGTCTTCTATTGTACTCAGGAACGTATTTGATATTCAAATGTTGTCTGAAATGTGTAAAATAAAACATACGAACAAACAAACGTAATTGCATACAATAGAGAATGCACGGAATGCAAAATTATTTCGAGTGTTTGTGATGTGACGTTGCTTTTTAGATGACAGATGGCGCTCGATGAAATAAAGAATTATAGAAAACGAGCTTTCGCCCATGACTCGGTCGGCGTGGAATTAAAAAAAAATTGAGGGGCCTATGTGTTCTTCTAGACTATCCCCTATATATTACCAAATTTCATCGAAATCCGTTCAGTCGTTTATGCTACAAACTATAACAAACATCCATCTATCTAAACTTTCGCATTTATAATATACAATTTAGCAGCTGAGATATTAACGTAATACAAAAGAAAACATTAAATGTACTATCAATTAACAAGCACCTAGATTAGTAGAGCGAAGGATCTAAAGGGTTTTCTTCAATTTTAGCCTTCATATAATGATTTTCCTAACTTATTTGGACCTTGTAATGACTTTTGACGTCAAAGTTAGGCTTAGTACTAGAAAGTTGAACTAAATCGATATAGAGTCCGTAACTATGGAACACGTTTTATAATTTTATTGAAAAATAGAGTTAGCGAAGTATTTTGAATCTCCAGTGTTTTACGATTTCATTTCTATTCACAGATTCGTCAAAATTCCTGTACATTTGTTGCATTATGTTATGTAACAAGAGTAATAAGTTAACTGGTTTAACCGCGGACCAGTTTTGTAGACATTGTGGTGGAACAAGTACTGCAGAAATAACAGAACCACTGGCTACAAGAACTTCATTCATACCACAAATGCAATGCGTTTAACCGCAACAAAATCTACAAAAAGAAAGAAAAAAGAAGAAAAAAACATAGAAATTATAACATGAATCATTTTAATTTATTGACCTACTTCCAGGTACTCAATTCGTCTGTTTTTTTTTATAATTTCACTAGATGCCTATCGGTGGTTAAGTAATCGAAAAGTTTGCCCAGTTAGTAAAAAAAACTGTTTGTAATAGCTATATTTAATACATCACTACAAATCTCAAACCTGCAGAATCTATAAATACTGGTATAAAAATTAAAAATCATCCCAAGATGCACATTGCACCCAAAAATGCATACAAAAAATCTAACCTAAAAGTTTGGCAAACTAAAGCAGGTAAGAAAGTTTGGTAAATTGTTTCACTTTGAGCCTTATGGTAGTTTAAAAATAATACATTTTAGTTATTCGTGCGTCACTGATCATTTGATTCGGGATGGAAGAGGTCGGGACCGATCAATTGCCTTGTAAAGAAAAGCGTGATTGAAAAAAAACGGACGGATTTTCATTTCACAGATTTTGGTCAGATTCGTGAGAGCGATGCGCATGGTTTGTGATTGTTGAACTAATGCGTAAACTTCGTAGGACAATGGTTCTACAAAATTAGAAGACTTAACAATCCTTCCGAAATATCTTTACATATTGTCCTCCCGCTCTTTCTCTTTGAAAAAACTGAGATAAGAATCTGATGAGTTTATGTCTCTTTCTTTTCGAATAGGTTGAACGAGATCAGAATTCAACGTCTGTGCAATTTTACTAAAGCGAAATCGTTTTGAAATTGCCGTATTATTCCTTTAACATGAGAGACTATAAATGATGAAGACCGCGGGACAAAAACACAATCGTCGTACGTAATAAAAGCAAACACTTTCAACGTCATTATTGTATTCAATTATCTTACGCAGCACAGGTCGCACTGTTCCAAGAATGGTAGGTTTATGGTATCTATGTAAATATCAAATTACCACATACTTTCAGCAATATGCACGAATAATGCATGTGGCAACGAAATACATTTTTTACAGACAGGGTCTGCGTGGAATTAAAAAAAAAAAACAAAAAAAATCAAAAGTAAGTAGCCTATGCGTTCTCCCATACTATGCTCTACATCTATGCCTTTCATCGAGATACATTCAGCCGTTTAGGCCACAGACTCTAACAGAAATCCATCTATCTAAACTTTCGCATTTATAATGTTAGTAGTATAAGATTAATTAAAAAAAATGTAAAATAATCTATTTACATCCAAGAATACAGCGAGTAATCAAAAATCAAAAAATCGATCATCAGTTAACTGTACAGAATAAGTGTTCCAGGGCCCTCAATGAAGACGAAGCCTGTATTTCGATATTTTGCGATATCATTTTATGTTATGATATCAATAAACTGAAATAGAATTTTACGGCATTTCATTTTCGACAGAATCTTACAGCAAATAATATTTATAATGTACTCTACATCAGATTTAAAAGGAACTTGACAATAGGACGATTTCGAATATTATAAAGCACGGTATTCACTAGATGACAATACAAATTCTAAAGGTAGGTACACATTGTAAGAAAACCGCTATTGTGTATTGTGAAAGTGCTTTAAATGTATCACGAAACAGGTAAAGGACCTCGACTTTTATCTATAGATACAATGTTATAAAAAAATATCTACTACCTTCTTTGTTAAGATTGATCCATACGTAATGAAGATTTCACTTTGAAGGAAAAATGAAACTTTCGCAGAGCTTAAAAAAAATGTTATGAATCTATCTATCATACCATTCATACTAATCATACTTCATACTAATATTATAAATGCGAGAGTTTAGATGGAAGGATGTTTGTTAGATTTTGTAGCCTAAACAGCTGAACGGATTTCGATGAAATTTGGTATAGATGTAGAGGATTGTCTGGGAGAACACATAGGCTACTAAGTTTTGTTTTTATTTAATTCAACACGCGTGGAGTCGCGGGCGAAAGCTAGTAATCTATATCAGCATGTAGACAGTCTTAAAAATTATATAAGTAAGTGCTTGTAAAACATGCATTTACTACAGCATACAGCATTCGTAATTTAATCCGTCAGGGCTTCTTAAACGAGGGTTGGTATTAATCACTGGTCGAGGGTTGAATAAAAATTGAATAAATCCTGTTTCCATTGTAGTGATTGTTGAAAGCAGTTTATTGTTGCCTTGGTTATTGTTCTAAATTAGTTCAACACTTGGTCTCGTTTTTAATTAACGCCAAAGCGTTGGGTCAATTGCTGGCCGCTTGACGTCAATTTGTAAAACTGTGTCAGACATTTTGTCATTAACTTATGTGAATTGTCTCTTCAATGTGACAATTAAATTCTATTGTTCTTAGCTTGCGCACACCTGAAACTAAAATATCGCATAACTGTTTAGTCTCGCCTTTCCTGTGAGCTAATATGCAGGTGCGCATACTCGATTTTTATTGAGCAACTAAACAGTTCAATTGGCTTTGAAACAATCGACAATCGCACAACAGTTGTGCGATAGTTTACTTAAATTTGTGCGCCCGCTCTTATATTATTTCTGAATTACTTTTCTCTAAATATGAAACTGTGTTTTAGTAAGTTAACGATATCGCTAAAACCGAAGATTTTTTTAAAAATAACCACATTCAGGCCACCCTTAATAAAGATCATTATTGACTTGCCATACTTTTTATTTAAAAAAAAGCAAAACAAAAGACTATCAAGTGATGACACAGTCATACTCAATGAATCATGGACGCTCATTAACGTATCTTAAAGTGTTAATGTAACGGACGAACTCGTAGCCTAAAATAAAGATATCAGGGTACTAAAATGAAAATACTTAATCTAGGGGCGCGGCTGTACCGTATTCCTAACCCCTAAAGCATATTCATTAAGCTAGCCGGATTAAACGTGAGAACCGATAATCACTGAAGTAGAAAGGAATTTCAACCACATGTCAGTGCAGGAAATAAATCCATAGGAGCGATGTCCTACTCGGATTAACAGGAAATTACGGAAGACATAAAAACATAATGACACTTTATAAAGAAAGGTGGTTCTTTGACATCCGAAAAACTTCTAACAAAACGGTCCAACAAAGTAATTCAGTTGTACCCTGAACTTATAGACTGAAGGTTAGAATTTTTCACTGATTAATCTTTTAAGTAACAGCTATATTACAATAAACTATATTTGGAACAATTAACTTTCGCCTGCGACTTCGTCCGCATGAAATTTAAAAAAGCTAGAGTAGCCCTTGTGTTCTTCCAGACTATGCTGCAGACTATCTGTGCTAAATTTCATCCAAATCCTTTCAGCCGTTTAGACTATAAGCTCTAGAAATCCAACCATCCATCCATCGAAATTTTCGAATTTAGAATAATTGGTAAGATTAGGAGCGCACTGGGCCAGCGTGGTTGACTATGGCCTAGTCACCCTAATTTAGGGTAGGCTCCGAGCCCCTCAGTGGGGACATACAGTGAGCTGGTGATGTCTGTATGTATGAATCTCGTAACGTAAGAAACGATTCAATAGTCTGTAGGGATTCAATAAACTTGGTAAGAGTAGGTACCTAAACTAATAATATTTCAACTTTCACAATCATGACACTCACGAAATTATAATAAAACCTTTGCAATAATATAAACTATATGGCAACACGTGATTTAATATTTATAAAACAATAGTAGAAACAATCGTGAGAGGCAATGACCGTGCAATTAGTTCCACTCTGTGTAACAACACTGCCGTCTTACTGTGGGAAAATATCACAGGAACTAACCATCACTGTTTTCAATATTAAATATACAACTAAAAGCATCCATTAATATTAATCTTACTTTATAAAGGAACTTACTTTTAATATATCGCAATAAAAGTTAGAATAGTTACGTCGCCAAAAAAATCAGGACAACTTGGCAATAATAATGTCAGGCCAAAACAAAAGCTTTACCAATCGTGCTTATTAAATTCGTGTAGACCAAACCGTTATGTAGATGCTTGGTTAAGGAACACATCTTACTACTTCTGCATTTATTATCTGTTCCAAATCAAAACAATGTCAACAACAAGCACACCAATCTTTCATAACATATTCTCAAACAATCTTAATACACTGAATAAAAACCAATCCAACATAAAAATTAAAACTTTAGCTAATTAAGGTCTACTTACTTCATGGATCCTGATTAAAATTAACTTTAACTTCACATCTGCCGTCGTAACTTAAACGAATCGAGATTTTAATCAAATACCCTGCAAATTAAAAAATGACATACCATGACGGTATTATTGTCAATATTTATTAAAAGTACAAATTTCTTGTACAACCCTACGTTAACTTTACCAAAGCAAAAGAGCAAAGATCCTTAATATCCCAACGGTTCATCTTACGAGACAAATTAATACCAAAAACCGCCTACTTTCCAAACTAGTTTACCTTTCGGCCTTTGTTCTTTAACCGACGGACAATCTCACGGTAACATCGATATATCCAGTTATAATGTAGATTACATAACTACAACCACAACTTACCATATAACGTTCAAATAAAATTTCCGTTTTCTCGAACACTTTTTGCAACTTTACAACATCCGTACACTAAACTATTTCAAAACTGTACCCTCGAACACATGTCACGAAGTCGCGTTACAATCACTGAACTATACTTGCATTACATACATATTTACAACTGCTATTTATAATAACTGTTATTCAACTACAATTAAATCATAACAACGTTTGATAGACTTATTTAAAACATTTTTCAAAGCAACCGTTTTGAACGGCGTCGCGTTTAGACTGGATGGGATTCGAGTCCAAGATATTTTTACCTGTGAGAACAAAAAAGTTTCATCCATATACAGACTTAAATGAATGTATAGACAGTATTCACACTTAAAGCACTACACATTAGGTTCAATTTAAAATAACTAAAGTAATTGTATTAGTGTGACCATAATTGTAGTCTTGCTAAGGGAATGTAAACTTTAATGTTTTGAGTTAAAGTTGTATTTTAAACAATGGCTTTAAAAGCTCAAGCTATCGCCTTGTGCGGTGTAGGTATATTGTGAGCAGTTGTTCCATGTCAGTAAATCTCAAACTTTACTTGTTAATAAACTTTTATTATGCAAAGAATATTAAAATAGTATTGAAACGTTATTTAACCTTGGAATAAAGAGGTTTTTATTATTTAATACTTTAATTCCTGCAGCTAACTTAAGCTGTACGTATTAAATATTTAGTCTACTGAGCTTCAGTTTCAATAAAAGAAATTCCGAAGTAATTTAATTTTTCTTTTTCAACATTCCCGAAGAAAAATATAAAATTACTGTAACACCCGTCTTCTGTAGTGACATTTGTGTACAAATGTAAGTATATTTTAATTTGGTAAAGAGAAAGTCTTTTTTGATACTTGTTGAAAATGTGCACCTAAACTATTGCAACATCCGACAAGAATTCGCAGATAAAACTTTGAGAACAACAGTTCGGGACCCGTAGCCCCAAACAGGTTTGTATGTAGAAATAATAAAATAACAAGCCTCAATAAGATATGAATTAACTCATTCCGGATTGTTATCTATCAAGTTGCCGAAATTTGATCTGGGAATAGAGAACGAAATAAGTATACTAACTGTGAGAACCCAAGTCTTAAAGGTCTTGGATATTGCAGCTACTAGTATATGAACTGTCGAAATAACGAGATATTTATATTAAAGTAGTCGCCTGAATAGCCTCAATAAGAAACAGCATAAAAATTCGCTTACGCTACGTAAAAATTAGTGGCCATTTGATATCGGGGCAAATTTTTAAAAAAACGATTCTTCAACCTTTAGGCCACCATAGAATAAGAACGGAAGTTCAAATAACGATAGTCTTATAATAAAAAACTGAATTTTAGTAACAAAAGACAAAAATATAGTTCCTCGTTGTCTTTGAAAAACCGTAGAGAAGCTTAAAATTAATAAAAGTAGTAATAAATTTTTTAAATAATTTATTGATTTATTTTGCTTGCTACTTAAAACTAAACAATATAAAATGCTTGAAAGCTAATTTCGATGGATCCTGTATACAACTGTATGTTTAAAACGCAAATTGCAGACAGAACTTTAACATTATCAAGAAGAATTCATGGAAATCTAATAAACAACAGAAAAATCTATACAATTTAAAAAATTGGACATTAAACTAAATTGTGGGTTACAACTGTTTACATAGGAGCCATGGATTTATTGGTTTAACAAGCATATGATGGATGTTAGACAGAGCTCTTACGCGGAGGTACCCAGGCCTCAATCTTTGGCCTTGTGGTGCTGTAAGGAGTATATTGTCCAGTTGTTCCGGACATATTTTCTGTGAATGGCACCATCCATTTATATTTAGGCCTGCTTGGGTCCTGAAATTTAAATAGTTTCAAAATCAAGAGATTTAATAGATGAAAATCATATTTTTTTATAACATAAGGTGGCAAATGAGCAACCGGCCACCTGAATCCGCCAAAATGGCGAAGCAACCGCTGTCCATAGACATCCGCAATTGCAGATGCGTTGCCTACCCTTATCCGACGGAGTAGGAGACACACATAAAGACATTTTCCTTTCACATGCATCTCCTTCACCATCAAATCCACTTCCTCTTCCCATCCTGTCCTTATAAAGGATGGTAAAGAAAAAGGGACTTAAATTAGGAATCTGGCGCCACACTTATCGGACGAAACACGGAATTGGTTCCATTTCACGCCTGTCTTCTGTGTGGTCGTGGTATTACACCGGGCATGCCGCCCCATTTATGCTAAGATGTTAAGGCGAGCACTACCACTGTAAATATTTATTTTGGACATATTAATCCAAAATGATATTTCAATGGTGTATGATTACTTTCTTTAAATACATACCTCATGAGGTAGCAAATCAGTTTTGTAATGAAGCCATCCATACCATTCAGCGGGAACCTAAAAGTAATATGAATCATACTAATATTATAAATGTGAAAGTTTAGATGGATGGATGTTTGTTACGAGTTTATAGCCTAAACTGCAGAAAATCTTAATGAAATTTGGGATAGATGTAGACAATAGTCTGGAAGAACACATAGGCTACTTGCTTTTGTTTTTTTTTTAATACCATGCTGACAATATTACGGGTGAAAGCTAGTTTTATCATAAAAACAATTTAGTATTTAGTATGTAATTGACATTTTAAGGATTTATTGTCTACATTTAAAATGTAAAATGTTTTAGTGTCTTTATAACTTGGAAGAGGGTATTTCAAAATTGATTTTGTATTTTTTAATGAAGTATTTAGAATTAAGTGACTATTAAATATTTTTTTTTACTATGTTACTGTAAAATTTCTTTGCTGTAACACTTTTCTTTAAAAACATAAATTCATTGTCCTTGTATATTTAAAAAGAATGAGTAAGAGGAAAACATGTCACGTGCAAGTTTTTTTTACAGTGGAAACTCAAATTAAATTTACATAACACTTTAAAGCTTTTTTAACAATACTACACCTGACTGCCATCATAATCCATGTTAAAATTGTCAGAATATTCAATCCATCTGTTACGACTGAAGAAAAATCTAGGATTCTCATAATATTTGTTGCCGAATTCATCTTGACCCACCAACACTCCATCTTTCAAATCATCTTGTCTGCAAAATTATGATCAAGTCTTGTTATTATTTTAGCGAAGCATTATGATTATTCTGAAAGCGTTGCATGGGTTTACTGGATCTATTTATATGGGAAGTTTGTCATTTCAACTTTAGAAAAACATAAGTGAAGTTTTGTATGTTCGAAAATATCAAACTCACAAACTTATTGTGTTTTTATTTTATTGCTTATAATTTTTCAGCAATTTCGAAAGAAGATAAAGATTACAGCATAGGTTAGAAAAAAAGAGAAGTTATTTTAAAACGAATTTTGAAACGCACGCAAGTAACCTATTGTAAAAATTACATAATAAATTTGTATTTACCTGTACATTTTGTACAAGGATCCTCTTATGCCACCATTTTGTTTGATAATGGTGAAAAAATTGGCTATTTTATCGAGGGCAAGGAATTTTCCAAGAGACATCTTATTTTATATTGTATTTTTCTTAAAAATATTGATGTATGTTTACTTCTTGAAATGTCAGCTGTCTGTCAAATATAATTTTCTACCAATTTCTACTGTATGGTATTTTTTATCAATCCGTTTCACGCAGTTCCACAGAGCACTTCATAACACTGAAATACAGATATCCCAAAGCTATGATGACGTGTACTGATATTCATTTTCTAATGACGTCATTGATACAATTTTTGATTTTGAATAGTGTTCAAAATCGCAAAATTGATACACTTCCAGTTTGTTGTCAGTTAAAAATGATTATGATTGGTTTAGTTGTCTTTAATTCTAAAATCATTTGATTTTTACTTACCCTGCTTTCTCCAAAAATGTTATAATACATTTAAAATAAATAAAACACAGCGTAGGTTTAAATACATAATTTATTACTATGGTACAACATGTTCTGAATGATTTGCCGATATCAATTTTATCCATGTACATATATTAAAATGTCGAAATAATACAACAAAATATACAAATGCGATAAACAGTTATCATACAAGATTTCAAAGTGTTACTATTTTTATATGAATTTTTAACGTTAATATACAAATTTATTTAGGATCGATCCACGCTTGACTTACTGTTTTTACACATGTATAATATATATATCGGCGGCTTGCGTTTATCCACCAAAATTTACTTATATCCACTTTATATCACGCAATATACGTCGACATTTTTAAATTATTTCCTTTTATATAAACATAAAAAATAACAAATGTAGACTATGCACATTTTCATATTTACTCTGTGTTCTTTACGAGGTGACAGTTGCCATATTAGTGGAAATGATATTTAACAGATTAATATGTTCCCTTATAATATATACTAACATTAACAAACACCGTTTGCGCATACATATATTTATTGTCTACATTTTATTCATGTTTTGATTATATTCATATAAAAATTTGCTACTGGCAGGGATGCACTTGATAAAAATTACAATTACTTTTACAATTTACAGATATTTAGATCGATTGCCTGAGGCCTTAAAAAATCTGTTTTGATAATGACAATTCTTACAATCATGTCGATAATCGAAAAATCAACAAGCATCAATTAATTAAGAAGGAAACAAATCACTAAATGGTGATAGTAAAAAATTGGATAAATCAATGTTTCCTAAACAACAAATTGATATCTGGTGTAATCGATTCTATCTTTTACAATTCTTTAAAAAAATTAAAACAGCCATATAACTTATAAAAAAAAACAATGTTAAATAAAACACTGTGCATCCCAATTACTGGCCAATAATTTGCATTAAAAAAACAACTTGTATTTACTATAGCAACTGTCGGAACACAATTTCTATGATTTTATTTGGAAATAGATTGTGAATGTATTGAAAATGCACCGTCCTCCTGTTTGTTGCATAACTTTGTATGTATGTAGATGTATGCTAGCCGGGCTTTGCTTACAAGTCCATATTGACACTTCACTTTACTGCTTTGCTTCTCGGAGCTTAGTACTGCTACCTGCAACAATTACAATTTAAAAATATAATACAAAGAGTAATAAAAGAGTCCTTTAAACAGATCTTCAAATGAAAGCTAAGAGCATATTCAAGAAGGTCATTAAATGACGGGCAAATTTGAAAACTTTTGAAATTAGAGATTTAAACATATTGCACTTCTTTATCCCGACTTATAAGAAGGCAAGCGAGCGAGCGGCAATCTGAATTCGCCGAAAAAGCGAAACCACCGTTGCCCACAGACATCAAAAATTACAGATGTATACCTACTCTTAATCAACAGAGGCACACATAAAGAGTATAATTCCCTTCCCTATCTGTCAAATCCATTATCCACCATGCCATAATGAAGAAAGGGAAGGGGGAAAGCGAGGTGGGAAAGGAAGTTGGAGGGAGGGAAGGGGAAAAGAGGAAGATGGGAAGGGTGGGGGAATGGGGGAGGTGCGAAATGGGGACATTTGGCTCTTGAATACCAGACAGTCACCTGGCTAGCTATCGTCCTGCAGCGAGGTGAAGCGGTTGCCGAGTGCGAGGGGTGCGCGTGCGCCGGTCCGCTGCGCGCCTGCGCCGGCGCCCGCCCCCGCCGTGCTCCAGCCGCCCGCGCCGCCGCGCTTCCCGCTCGCACCCAGCACGGGGAAGTAATCGTCGTTGTGGATGTCCGGCGCGTGCTTCTGTAATACATAATATTACTGTGTTACACCATGTTATATCTATCAAAAATGGGCAGTTAATATATTAGTATACAGTTGAAGTTTTAGCTACTTTCTCGCTAAAACTATTTTGTCATCTATACTAATGTTATTCCTTAATAATACAAGTCTTTCCTCCTTGAAAGACTTGTAGTTTTGTACATATTGAAAGAACTCAAAAACCACTGCTACTAAATTTATAAAGGTCAAAAAAATATGAAAGGTTTTGTTGATGTTTAAATTTTTAACTGCAACTGGTCTAAGTATATACATCATAATTAGGAAATAGTGAAAAAAAGCCACAATTTGACCATAACATATTTTTGGTTTGGAACAGATTATTCTAGTTAACCCATATTAACAAATCATATACTCAAAACATTTATAGATATAAGACAGTAAACAAAACAGACTGTATATAAAGAACATCAAGAAACTGTACAAGACAGTTTATGTAAGAAAGTAAACTGATTAGTAAAATAATTAACCTGTAACATTGAACCCAAAGGTACATTAAATTGATAAATCTTAAGGACAAACACTTGGATAACCATGCAAATTTAGTAAAGTTGACTGTTAAAAATGTAATAAAACGAAACAATGTGTAACTTACGGCTTGATTCCTGCGCACCATGGGTTCAACCTCGCGGTTCCTGGGCGCGGGCGGCACGTAGATATTGGCTTTCACTTCCCGCGGCTTCTCTTCTACTGGGGGCGGAGGTGGGGGCTGTTCCGCTTCCACCTAAACAACACTAGTATCATCACATAACTTACAACAATCCCTGAATCTATACTAATATTATAAAGAGGAAAGTTTTCTTATGTATTGAAATAACTGTAAAACTACTAGGCCGATTTCTAAAATTCTTTCACCATTACAAAGCAACATTATCATTGGAAGTAACATAGGCTATATCTTTAAATTTCAAGTGGACGAAGTCACGAGCAACGACTAGTTTTGTTTAACATTAAAAACTCATAAAAGTCCTATTATTCACATAGAGATTACACAAAGATACAAGCCAGATCTCTTCATTACATTGTTAGTAATACAAAAATGCTTTAAAAATAGACTTACTGGTTTGTTCCAAGGACCTTTGACCTTTCCACTGTCTGGGGCTGAGTCTTCCGCAGCTGAATCTCTCGATTCTGGAGCAGCATTACCTTGCAACACTTGGATCTTAAGCCCTGTGTAGTCCTTCACTGGCTCTTCATATTCTTTCCATTCCTCCTCCTCCTGTATAAAGACATATATAAGTTAAAATAAGAGTTTGCATGATAAAAATATCAAGTGAATTGATGGATCGAAGATGGATGGATGTTTATTAAAGTTTGTAGCCTAATCGGCTGAATTGATCTCAATGAAATTTGGCATAGATTTAAAGTTGTGTCAGGAATAACAGATAGGGTACTTGGTTTTGTTTTTCTTTATTTCCACATGGACAGTCTTGTAATATAATGATCTAAAATATCATGGTATAGTAATTATTTAAATATCTTGGTGGCTGTCTGTGTACTGTGCATGATTTTTTGAGCCACAAAGATATTTTAATTCTAGTATACTTAAAGCAATTTACTTTGAACAAGAATGTATATCAGTTTGTAATACTTGTTACCAAATTACAATAAAATTGTTCTTACTAAAAATACATGCCTTATCATGACTGTAGTAACATGTCATGAAAGTTGTTCAAGACATTCACAATTGACAATTATTAAAATTCTTAACATTATTAACAAAATTATTGTATGACTCTTGCATATCTAAATAAAATAACATTCATTGTGTAATTCCATGCCTAAGAATTAAAAAACAATAACAGTTGGTCGTACAAACATTGGTTTTAGCTAAATACTAACTTTATAACTTTTAGAAAAAAAATATTATTGAAATCAAACATTATAATTAAACTAGACTTGTACAAACCAGTTACATTATATAAATATTGAAATGAGTGCAGAAGTATTGCATATATAATGTGTCCAAAATTAAAAAGTTACTTTACATCCTAACCATATAGTAACTACAATAGTTATCAGATATCTTGGTGGTGCTTTTCTTTGTGTGAGTTGCAATTTTAGATGTAATAGGATACAAGGAGAGGGTACTAATGTCCTTAAACAGCCAAGATATATATAAAATCTATACTTAGTTGTTATATTACTTTACTATGGAATGCTACAGTTGTGTATAGAATAGTGGACAACATTCAAATATTGCTTACTGACAATATTATACAATTATGCACATTCAGTTAATGAGTCAATAGATTATTGTGATCTAATCATGCTTGGTCCATATTGAACAAAGAAAGTGCACATGCACATTTTTAATGTCATTATAGGGTAGATGGAGATATTACTAATGACTATTTCATTCCATTTCATGTATATTTCATTATCTTTTATATATCAATTAGAGCACACATATAAAGCAAAATTCACACATCATCTTTGTTTGAGATGTCAATAGTGTCACATGAAAGCATGTGCATTTAATGTTAATTATATATAAGTCACAAAAAAAGATAAACGTAAAGTTAATATTCTATACAAAGTAAGATTAGAACTGTGACATACATTGAGACGAAATATAAGTCGGTCAAACTGAATGGTCAATTTTCATGTGTGTCTAGTAATTGCAATAACGGTACTCTTATTACTAATTGGTTTGGTGAGTAATTTTCTCAAAGCAAGCACGACAGACATTAAACCAATGTTAACCCAACATTACAGGTTCGTCGACAAAACCCGCCTGCACCATGGCAATTGACACTTGTGTTCAAAATTTATACGATTACAAAATGATTTTAAAGGAAACTTACCCCAGCTCTACCAGGTTCATCCCCTTCTTGTATAGGTCGCTCTTTTTTTGGCCTTACATCCGATTTTTTTGTGTCTTCCAATTTTTTGGCTAATTCATCGGCAGTAGCAAACTTTTTGACTGATTTCGACTTTTTGCGATCTTTCTTAGCAAAGAAATCATCTAAGTCGGCCATTGCGTAATTTTATAATTGGCTTAAAAGTTAATATGGTAATTACAACAATATTAGAACGAAAAAGGTGAAAATACTTGATATAATCCCAAGACAATTTTTGTGGCAAGCGTGGCCGACTGTCTGTTTCTTTTTTTTAATGGCAGTTGGTGTTGTCATCAAATAAATTGCAATGATAAAGGATAAGTAAAGGAAAGGTTTCTAAAGTGGCTCCAAAGAATTCTTAAAAATCAGTACCTTTGATAGTTTTAAAACTTTAATTTAAAGTTAATTTTTTTTTTGGTGTTGATGTAATAAACATTGATATTAATTAATAACATTGAAAACATGGTAGTTTTTAAACCACAGTGATGGGTATACATTTGTTGTTTTATACCGCGAATCTTTCGTCATTTAAATATAGCAAAATCATTTGGATTTCCTCTTTTATGTTGGAATATTTACATTTTCTCTGCTAAATAAAATATTAGCAAAGAAGTTAAACTGCTGACAATTTAAATTAAAGAATAGACAAACACATAAATAAATAGAATTGATACAAGGGTTTCTTATCAACGGATAAGCGGGTGCACCTATCGATAATAGGGATCGCTCAATATATTTATCTTATCTCCTTAAACTTACCTGCATGCTCTGTTATAACTTGGTTTTAGAAGAATAATTTAAAAATGTTGGGTCCTATTGCAAGGGTTTCTAATCAATTTGGAAGAAATGTAATGAAAAACTTTGTCAGAAATGGATCTCACGGAGGAGTTCCAGGAGAGGCAAGTATATGCTTCTCAATTACGTAATATAGTGTATATTTTGTAAGTAAAAAATTCGTTCTTGTGTTTATTCGTTGGTTTATTAATGAGACAGCTATTCGATGGCATACAAAATTTAAACATCAGCGACAATTTTTTTTAAATACTATGATTCCTATTGTATATGATAGAATTTGATTCAATAGTCATGTGGTGGTGTAAACTTAACCTTCAGAAATAATTGGATTCAGTTTTAACCAGAAATCGTGGCACAATTTGTGAGATTAATGTTGTGATAAGCTGTAGAAAAAGTTGTGGGAGGAGTACTGATTTTTATTGTTTTACAGAATTTGCCGTTTGATATCAATAACAAAGCACGCCTCACATTTCATATGATGTGGTTTATTGGTTCCGGAATGTCCGCACCGTTCGTTCTTCTGTGGTACCAGCTAACTAAGAAATGAAATGGTTAGTCCTATTTATTAATATTTCGTAGAAAAATAATCTTAATCTGAAGTGGAGGCTTTAGTTAACTACTTAACATAAAATTGCTAACACTTATAACGTAAAAATTTGACAATATAATTTAAATTTAGTCTGTCTTATTATATCTTCGGTACTGGAAAATATTTTAACGAAAATACCCGACCACAAGCCCCGGATTTTTTTGAGTGCGTTCCCAGGTAGTTTAGTTAATTTACCGTTAATGCATAGCATGTACGGTATTAGTATGGCCTTTGCTATATTTGTAAGACAATCAATATAATGTCAATCACTACAATTATTTCAACAAAATTATTTAGAGTCTCAAATTCAATTTCAGGTAAAGAAAAATGCAATTTGAAGGCATGGAGAAACGAGAAGTATGTTTAGTGCTAGTATTCAAACTAAATTAATAAACCTGATGTAATTTTTAATAGTTTTTTTATTTATTTGAAGCTGTTTGTTAGTTTTCATTTTTAATATATTCGGTAGCGTTCGTCGTAATAAAAGTTACTGATTCGGTTAAAATCACGCACGAACGTAGCGGTAGTTTTAGTAAAAAAAAAAATAGCTAAGTCTCAGCAAGTCTGCAATCGAGTAATTTCAACGTTGTTCTGCGTTTTCACTCTAGTAATTTTTTTTCGCGAGTTAAAGCGAAACTAGAATTTTACCAAAATGATTACTCCTATTGCACGTTTATCCAATAGGTTGGGCAGAAATGTAATGACAAACTTTGTCAGAAATCATTCCCACGGGGGAGTGCCTGGAGAGGTAAGTTCCTAATTCAAATCGATTCATTACATAATCTTATTTTAACTTTTTGGTTATGAAAATTAAATTATCACTTTTGTTTCTATAGTTACTTGTTATATCTTGGTATTTAACGTAATGTTAAGCCGTACGACAAGATCTCGTAATTATAACATCTATGACGTTTTTGTTTGTATTGATTAGGAACATTTTATCGCTTTCTTTTAGACACTTGCGATACAGTTAAAAATATGCCTTTATTATGTCAATGTTTGTATATATCGCTAATAATGACTTCGCTTATGACAACTCATAAATGTAACCATTTGAAGATCGTTAAGTTATTCTCTTATTAATTTTTTCAGAATTTGCCCTTTGACATTTCTAACCGCTACAAGCTGACGGCGTTTTTCATCGTATTTGTGAGTTCCGGTCTTTCAGCACCATTCCTGATTACCCGTCACCAGCTTCTCAAAAAGTAAAGTATTCCTCTTTTACCCATTTATAAATAATAACTTTAAAAAAATGTTTCTATTGTCTTTGATGCATTTCTAATCCAGAGATTAGAAATGAAATTTTATGATACTGAGTTGGTAGTGACCATGATTGACAAAAAAAGGCTAACGGTTTTAACAATGGAAAATTGAGTTAGCAATATTAAGATATTTTGAAGGACAGTGCACTTATTGTGTACTATTCTTAATTCAAATACAAATAATACAATTTTATTCTAATCAATTTAAACTTATCACTATTATATTAACAAATTAAGAATTTAATTCAAGAATTGTATCTTTGAAACATGTTTCTACATTATCTGACAAATCCGTAACTAAAACATCCTAATACAAACCTTGCAGTTGAAACATAGTCATAATAAGATCTAGACCAGATTAAGTAATCCAATTAATATATTATATGCTGTTATTAAAATTTTGTCCTATATTTTCAGGTAAATTGCAACTTCAAAATGTAAGAAAAAATGCTTTAGGTTAAGATAGAAAAAATTATTTAATCACATTAAACTTTTAGGAGTGAATGTGTGTTTTATTTGTTCTTTTAACTATCTCCGGAATAAACAATGACTTAAAAAGTCATTAATTTTGTTTCAATCTTTGGAATACAGTAATTCATAGCTTAGTAGGCTATAAAATCATAAAAAACACTACACTAAAAGTAAATATAAATATGCATGCAAAGATGTATTTGAAGAGGTTAGAGAGCTGTGTTAGGCAAGTGCCAAATTGAAATCTTTAATCTCTGCCTATGTGAGGAGTGTGAATCAAATGACATTATATTTTCCTAGCTCATGCTCCCCGTGTTGTGTTTTGTACCTTATGCAACTACTGATAAAGATCTTGCTATGAAAGTTCAAAATTTCGTTTTGTGTTACTAATAGATTTATATCTTATGTTATAATTGAAGCGACAATAGTGGATAATGGCTACAGATATCCGAGCTTGTGGTCGAGGGTTCGAATCTAGCCAGTCGACTATTGTCATAAAATCATGTCTGAACAAGCCTCGATCTTAGTTGGACAGCACTTCAAATGCAATATAATAATTCTATTCAATAGTAAATTAACAAATAATGACGAAATAATAAAAAAATACACTTACGGTAATTTCTGGTTTTTGAAACTGGTAACCCTACCATTCCGATCAATATCTCGTACTCATTTGACATTGACAGCACAGCATATCTCAATTTGATGAGATGTTCGCTGCATCGCAATTTTTATTAAAATATAGTTGTATCGTTTGTATTAACATTAATTAAACAGTTAAACTTATTATAATACATTGTAAAATTAAAATTCATGAAGATCTCAGTTACAACATAACTCTTGATGCTGATTGGAAAATACTAGTCATATAGTTTTAATTTCACCGGTTAATTCTCAAAATGTCTGAAAGTTCGTGCTATATCCTTGATAACGGGGGCTATACAGCAAAAGTTGGGTTCTCTACAGCAAACGAACCTAAAATTGTACCCAATTGTATTATGAAAGCAAAATCTGAACGTCGTCGCCCTTTCATTGCATCACAAATAGATGAATGTAGAGATGCATCTGGGCTCTTTTACATATTACCTTTCCAAAAAGGATTCCTAATTAATTGGGATACGCAGAAAACTGTTTGGGATTTTATTTTTAGCAAAGACTGTTGTCCAGTTAATTTCAGTGAAGCCCCTTTAATAATAACGGAACCATTGTTTAACTTTTCTTCCATCCAAGAGGCTACGACGGAAATATTCTTTGAAGAATACGAATGTCAGTCATTACTAAGGATAAATGCGACTGATTTGGCAGAATATAACTACAGAAAATTGAATTCTAATGATTGTACTGTGGTTGTTGATTCTGGTTACAGTTTTACTTACATAGTACCTTATATAAAAGGAAAGAAATACAAGCATGGCATTAGAAGAATTGATGTTGGTGGTAAAGTGTTGACTAATCATTTAAAAGAAATTATATCCTACAGGCAGTTGAATGTTATGGATGAAACTTATGTTATTAATCAAGTGAAAGAAGACTCTTGCTTTGTCTCTCAAAATTTTATGGCAGATATGGAAATTGCCAAAAAGAAAGGTATTTTTTTATGTATTTTAATATTACCTATATCTCTTTAGTGTGCTTAAATCATTTTAAATTCCTTACATTTGAGATAATCTTTTTGATCTGAATCTATTTTAAACAGGTTTTCACTGAGTTATCATAATTATCATAACATTTAAAACATATTTATTTATGAAAAACGTTACTTTACTTTAAAGTACACATTCTGCAAATCATGTTGTGTTGAATTTAAATCATTACTTTTATCCAGGTTCAGAAAACACAATAGTAAAGGACTATGTGCTGCCAGATTACACAACAATCCGGCGTGGGTACTTACGTGATGTTGTCAAACCTGAAGAGGACTTGGAACAACAAACTCTACGGTTGAACAATGAAAGGTTTTCCATACCGGAGTTACTATTCCATCCATCAGATGTTGGGATATCGCAAATGGGTATACCAGAGGCTATAATCGAAGCAATAGAAGCATGTCCAGAAGAGAATAAAGAAAGTTTACTGGAGAACATCATTTTGTACGGAGGCTGCACACTATTTCCTGGATTTAGAGATCGAGTTTACAACGAAGTTAGAAAATTTGCTCTTGATCATTTTGATGTTAACGTAACTCTTGCTGTTAATCCTCTAACATATCCTTGGGAAGGTGGTAAACTTCTATTCAAAGATCCTGAATTTTATTCATTTTGTATGACAAAGGAGGAATATGAAGAAGAGGGGAAATCTTTAGCATTTGAACGATTTGATATATAGCGGCGTAAACGAGCTAAGAAATCTTCAGAGTAGATACCTAGCTCGGAAAACTTGTGCTGGAATTTGCAAGACTTGTAAACAAACATATGACCGTTACACTATATAATTTATGGTTATGATTAAAGTTTAAAATCACGCATATAAAATATAGAATAGAATTTGTATGAAGGCAAATGCTGTGCTTAATAGGCGGGTACAATAGTAAAAGAATATAAGCACACAGTGAATCTATCAACATATGGTTTAATAATAAAATATCGAACTAAAATTATTATTGACTTATATTAAATAAAGTGACGATTCTAGTAGTAAATATGGAGATCGCGATAACAATCATATTAACGAATTCCACTTAGATTATGCATGACCGTATTAGTAATAAGTATTTATTAATGCTTAATCTTTGTATCTGTTTTGTATTCATTATTGATTAGACTTTGATAACTGAATGAAAGAAACAGTGTTTTTATTTTTAATCCATAAGGAATAGCTGTGATCTATCGATTGCAACTTCTATGAAAGCAAAACCAACCCATTCCTGCTAAATTGTCAAACTTTTGTTTTTGACAAACTATACTATGCAATAACATGAGAATAACTGAAATAATACCAATATCATTGAAATAAAAGACATAAATTAATTTAATGTTTTATTAGTGTGATAAGGCATACATACTTCTCCAGTACTGTAAAACTAGTTTTAAACAAATGCCTGAACTAAACATAAAGTAAGACATGATATCACTGAGAAATAGAAGGCAGAAAACCATTCAACCTTCAAAAATATATGTAAGATCTTAACATTTTTTATGTCCTAAGCATTAAAAATATTAAATTAAAATGTTAATACAGTGTTTTAAAGCATATTAAATAATTAATTTGATAGAATTAGGACAATGCAAATATAAAACTGGAACATTTTGATAAATAAAATACATTTTTGGATAAAAGGAAACATGTTTTTAAAGAATTTTAACTTTTTATTTTATTAATAGTTTGTGACAGTCTGATTAACACAAAAAATCACTTTGAAAACCTATATTTTTGTGTATTTTCTTACACTGCATGTTCAAAACTATTCGGCAATGTCATTCCAGCTTATATAGCATTACATAACTTTCCATACACTTCAATTACACACAGTTAAAAATATTAAAGTCTACTGCATGCCGTCAGCCGGTGAACGAACATCATCTATCTTCAGTATCATTTTAACGAGCTGTGTTGCCAGTGCAATCTGTTGCTTCTTGGAGTGTAACGACTCTATTACGTTCATTGCCTTCATATCATTAGAACCTGTTAGAAAATTAAATTATTTAATTAATTGCATCAGTAATTAATATTTAATGTAAAATATCGGTTCAAGTAATTAAGAAAAAACCTAACTTACGACTATTATAAATAAAATTAAACATTACTCATATAAATAGGACCGCCTATTTAAAAAAATCAAAATTTGTTGTTGGATACCCGGGAATGTATAACTTTTTTTAAATTATGTTTATTTTTTTTTATTTCTACAATAGGTTTTTTTATATTTATCTCTATATTTTACCTGTTCCCATACAGTCGACACCGAGATTGCTGTTGTTTTCCGACACCTGGCGCGCCTTAACCTCTGACAGCGTATCGATCGGAGACAGACCACTGTGCACACCAAATTAATATTAAAACCAAACAAAGTTACAAATAAATACTTAAAATTATAACACTAACTAAATACTTATTGTCTATATGTGTCAGTCTTATTCAATATGAGTAAATTCTACTGGGTAAAATGCTTGTGAGGAATTGTGGGCATTTTTAAATAACCTTAAAAATGAACAACATTAATAAAAAATAATAGCAACTTCAATTACTTAATGAAATAAGTAATATCATGTCCCGTTACCTGTTCTCCGCCAACGCTAGAGGAATAGACTCTAATGCATCAGCATATCCTCTGTAGGAGTACTGCTCGAGAGAGGACAACTTCTCTGCAGCGCGTGCTACTGCCAATGAGCAGGAGATCTCGGCCGCTCCTCCACCGTACACTACACGTGAGTCCTGAAACGTACGTAATGTACTAAGTATAAATTAGCCATTAGGGTACATAAAAAAACTATTCACTTTGAAAACCTGATGCTAATCAATTTTTTCAGAATTTTTTTGGTACTTCTGGAAAAAAACTATATTAATGTAGCAAATCTTATGTTATACTCTTACAAATGCTTAAGTTAAACTGACTGTTTGTTTGTAGTTTAAACTTTTAAACAAACTTTGATGAAACTTCGCATAGATGTAGAGCATAGTATGGAAAAATACTTAAACCATTTGTTTCGTTTTTTTTTTTATTTCACGCGGATGGTTGTATGAAGTAACATTACCTGCACCAGACTGCGTACAATACACAAGGCGTCGTGCACTGATCGCTTCGCCTCGTCCACAATCATGCGGTTGCCGCCGCGCACGAGCGCCGTCACCGCGCGCGAGTTGGAGCACTGCTCTATCACCAACATCTCATCCTTGGATGTACCAAATGCTGTACAAGAATTATGGTTTTTAGATATATAACAATGACAATAAACACATTAGTCTAATATTACTAGTTGTTGCTTGTGACTTCATTAGTGAAATTTAAAAAATATAACATATTACTCAGCAGTAACAATGCTTTCTAATGGTGAAATAATTTTAGAAATCGGCCAAGTACTTTTAGAGTTATTTGCATTCATACAAAAGTTTTCTTAAGACTTCACCATCCACTTTGTATTACATATAATTTTCAACAACAAACTTGAATAGAAAAACTTACTAAGTTCCCTCACAAGTCCACACGAGCCGAGCTTGTCTGGTGTGAGTTCCTCAAATCGTGGCACGATGCGGCCGCCAGTAGCTATCGCGATAAGTTCCATCTCAGGTCCGTGCACCCAGCGCACAGCCGGCAGACCTTGAGATAGTAGTAAATGGTTCGCCTCATCATCAAAACCAAACTGACAGATGGCCAACGTTGCACCAGTGTCCTGTAATATAATATTAAATATTTAGACATAAATGTTCGTTATTAAGGTACTCTCAAAACAACTTAACAGCTAGCTGAAAGTTGAAATGTAGAACATGTCTACACATACGCTACTTACAATGTCTTTTTTTTAATTCTAGTCAGATAAAGTTGCAGGCAAAAGCAACTATGTCATAAGATTAAATAAAATATAATTTTTAGACAAATAGTAAACTAAAAAAACTGTATTATCAGCAAGTTAAAAACACCTATAGAAAAAAACTGGTATTACAATTTTTTCAAGAATAAATAGGTAAGTGTTTGTACTATCTCCACTCAGAAATATTAAAAAAAATAGCTTTCAAAGTATTTTGTTTTCCCTTTCATAAACAGTACTTACATAAATAATAATAATAATATAGAATACTTACTTTAACTCTGCGCACCATCTCCAAGAACTTTTCTTGTTCATACTGCCGCAGCTCCCTGTATTCCTCAACTGAACCTACATGCAACTTGTGTGTGGTCTTAGGCTTGGGAGGCTCAAATGGACATGTCAATATTGCTAATTTCACATCCTGCAAAAAGTTATTTTATTATATTTTGTATATAAGTAAAGTTTGTTAATGATTTTTGTAACTTCTAGATTTCACTAAGCTTATTTTGATCTGAACCATAACAAGGCTACACTTCAAGCCAAAACTTTAAGACTAAAACTAATTAAAACATAGTTGTTTATAAAATTTTACCTTCAGCATCTTTGGCATCTGAGGGTGACTCATAGTTTTGTCAATAACAACACCACGCACCAGCATAGAGTCCTCCATACGACCACCTACTTTACCCTCCACTTTAATCAATTCAAAATTGACATCCCTTTTCTCTAGATCTGCTACTGTCAGGACAGCCTGAATAAAAATTTAACAGATTATACATGAAAGTGGAAACATGAACAGAAATTTCAAAAACATAAATCTTTAACAAAGTGTTAATTAAAATATTTAAATAAAGAAAAAACTTACATCAACAGCAATTTCCGCCATCAAACGGTGGCACTTGACTACCACCTTGCTACCAAGGGTTGTCATGGCAACTTTGATAAGATGCTCTCTTGTATCCTTGTTCACTGGGAAGGCCTCACTGATGGAGTCTAAATGCGCCAGTGCTGTCGCCGAGGCCATCTCAAACCCATCCGCAATACGAATCGGATGAATACCTTTGTCAATCAAGATCGCAGCTTGTTCCAAAAGAGCACCTATACAAAATAAAATGTAAAAGGTTAATAAATGTACTAACTTTTTTTGCATTTCAATACAACACAGTCTTATCGCCTTGTTTTATTGCCATTTCTCTTTACTTTTAGTCAAAATTTAAATGTAACTTTGCTACTGGTCATAAATAATGTTTGTTTTTATTCACTTTATTTCTATTACAAAAGATTTTCTATGATAGCTATGAAGTTATATTAAACCCATATTAGGACTGAAGTTCTATTATTTATTTTATGATCATTTCCACAATAGATTTACTACATTCATTAATTACCAAATTTTAAGTATTGCTTGATACATACCAGCTAACACCACAACTCCTGTGGTACCATCACCAATCTCATCATCCTGACTCTGGGAGAGTTGCACCATCAGTTTACCAATCTGGTGCTCAACATCCATCAGCTTCAGGATTGTAGCTCCATCATTGGTAACTGTGACTTCTCCATCCGAGGACACCATCATCTTATCAAGGCCACGGGGACCAAGAGATGTTCTCAAAATGCTAGCTATTTGTTGAGCAGCTTGGATGTGAGACTAAAATAAAATGTAAAGATTAAATATGCTTTTTATTTAAATCAGTAGTTTTATGTTTGTAAAATATACAATGATGACACCTTTGTAAACAAATGTATCAATAACATTTAATTAAAAATAGTAACAATATCTTTAACTGAAATGAAGATTATGTCTTTAAATAGTAAGTGACATAATTAAAAATAGTTATTAAAAACAATAAAAGAGAGGAGGTTATATTAGTCATCATTATAAACAATAGTTGAAATCATATTTCACTGTTGTTTTGAAATGAGCATATGAATTGATTTTATATGTAAATGTCTCCTTAATTTATAAGCTTTATCGGAAAGTTGAAAGATACGTCATGTGACTACAAACACCTGATTTTTTAAACGTAAATAATTCGTAAACCTTTCAATATTCTAATAAATTGAACTTATTTTCATAGTTTAGAAACATGAAACATTATTAATATAACTGTTTTATGTCATAAAAGTAACAATTTACGAAAATCAAGAATAAGTTCTAAATTTTTCTAAATAAGGTTTAGTCATTATTACTAGGCTACAAGTCCATATAAAATATATCTAAAATTAATTTGGTTTTATTAAGTAAAGTTTAAGCTCTCGAAAGAATTTTATTATAATAAATACTAATATAATTTACCTTTATAGCATCTGTACCGGTAAGACGTTTTTGATTTTCTTGGTCCCTTAAAATTATAAATGGACGCCCAAATTCATCAAAGGCAACGGTTCCAGGAAACATAGCCATTTTAAGTGTTTTAACAATATCACAAATTCAAGATGAAATTAGATTTAGGTTTTCGAAAACCAAATTCTGTCTTTATTTTTGATACAAGTCAAGTTGACATTTCATTTGATTTTGACGTTTGAAGAACGCGCCATAGATAAATTTTAAATCTATAGACAAGTGCAGATTAAATGATGGTAGATTAAACATGATAATATCGACATTTTAATGAAAACAAAAATATAATTTTAAAGAAAACAGCCAAATTCACTTTATTTTGATTTAAAAACCATTTCTTTCCAATTTATTAATACTGTTCATTCTAATGTTGCAGCTAGAATTAGTAGCATCAGTAACCAGCTCATTCTTGTCTTCTGTTTATTGAACTACTAGTAGACACTATTCCACTTTTATATCCTCTTGATTTCGAAATCAGCCGAGATTGCAAACCTCTAGCCATTAGTGGAAGTCTATCAGCTATTAGTAACAAGTACCGATTTTTTTTTGGGATAAATAAAATTGGTTTTAGTTCTTAGATCATTTTATTGTAGTCTGAAGTAAATAACTATTTACATTCTCATATCCATCCATAATGTATAACCATAATTGGAAGGCATTGTAAAGATTTTACTTTGGGTTCTCTTCCATAATACCAGTGTTCAGACAAAATATTTCTTCTTAATTTCAAGCCAATTTAGATAACAAAAAGACTTATAACTAGGAACATTTAAAGTAATTCTTGTGACTATCTGCTTCTTACATTGTAAGTTCCTGAAAAAAAAAAAAACAATTAGAGCATGAACAATATCAATAATAAAATAAAGTCAATAGTCATAGAATGTCAGCTAGTGACATACATAAATATTAATTTTAATTAACATTGAATTCAACTACACTATCTAATTTCAAATGGCCTTTGACAGCAATTGTAAAAACCACAAAAGTGACATGTAACTATGACATTTATATTTCTTTCATAAACTTGTCGTTATAAATAAAACAAAAAATACTTACCATTATAGCATTGACAATATCGGATTGGTTATTACGCAATGCACGGACAGCCCGTGCCCTCGAGACGTTCGCCTGCGTCATTACTATCTCCACATCCTTTTCATCAACACCAGATTCGTCCACACCTTCTTCATCTTCCTCTTCGGCTATCGGTGCTACGGTCTGAAAAAAATCATAATGATTTAGTTTTTTTTTTAATATAATATTCACAAAAAAACTGGGAATTATTTCAGATTTATTTTTTAAGCCATTCAATTATGACATATATGCTAAATTTGTTTATTTACAACACAAAACCAGATTACCTGGACATTATGGCAAATAAATGATATAGTGGCGCAAACGAGATTGAGCCAACCCTATTTAAAATGGGATTAGGTGACGATGATGAGTTGAATCACAGCATGGGATACTTACAGTGCCAGTAGTGGTGGAGTCATTGCCTGAAGCAGCTGTCTCCGGAGCCTTGAAGCGCTCTGCAGCTGCCATTGTTGCTTGCTGTGACAGATCCTCAATCTTGGCCTCGCCAAATACAATGTATGTGTCAGAGTGTGGGTTCTTGTACACATCTGGTGAGTTGATCACAAACAGGATGTTCTTTGACTTCCTGATGGTCACCCTGTTTACTCCTTGCACCTAAAACATAATAAATGCATGAAAAATTTCCATAAGAAAATTAATATAAGATCAAAATGTTCCAATGAATGTGCAAATTTCAATGACAGTTCAGACATTGTTCAATGGGGATATAATGATATGTGAATTTTTGACATTTTCATAACATACTTACAGGTTTTAAACCCAACTTGCTCATAATTTTACGAGCTTTCTTTTCTCCTCGTGATTGTTTTGCCTTAGATACAATATCAATACCAGCGATAGGGTTTGTAATACCTCCAGCACCAGGTGCACCTGAATTCATACAAATTTTGACTTCAAACATTTGCCATGATTAATTAAATAATGCAAATGTGGTCTTTTGATATTGCTAAAACTGACTGCTGTCCATAGACATCAATAAGTTGAAGGTAAAAGATGCATATCCTTACAGAACAGATATGTACATCTCTCTCTCTATGCATACCTATCTTAAATTAGTAAACACTTGATTAACAGACTATATGATTGTAGTAGTTTTACCTGCATCTTCTAGCTCAGGAATAGTATCATCAGAGTCACTGTCTGAGGAAGCAGTCTCTTCCTTGCGTTTCTCAGTCATGGATGCTGTGGCTTTGTCCAATTCAGTGAGTTCCGGCATTTTGGGATTTACTTCTTTGGTAATCCTGCAAATACCAAAATTATCCTAAAAATGTATTTGTATAATAATAACATGGAATGCGTATTTATAACAATATTTAATTAGAATTGTGTACAATTTTTAAATGAACATAAACTTAAAAGTCTAGAAGATCTAACCTATTATTTTATTGTTAGTAAAATACCTTTACTCTCCAACGTCTAAAGCTTAATACAGTTACTAGACCAAGACTTCGTATATTGTTTTACAATTGCATAAAGGCAAAGATAATTTAGCGATAACTACTAAAGGAATTGTCATGGACATCGAAATTTTGACTAAGAATAATTTTTGTTACACCACAAATTATAAAGAAAAAATGAATAGCTTAGAACTATGAAATGTTAATACGTTTTCCAGTATGTTAAGACACAAGATTAGACGAAAATATTTGAACAACTTTTTAAATCATAAGCACATTAAGATGGTCGGCACTATCATATTTTTAAGCTTAAGTACTAAAATTAACTACAGGGCATTTGTAAATATCACTCATTAATATATTAAGGAATAAATTTCCCACTTTAAAACCACGATTTCACTCAAATTAAAGGATTTATTACCTTGTTTATTAAAAACTTTTTTTGAAAAATGGTCGACAATAGCTAAAAAAATTGACAGAAAGAAAACTACAATCACAGATACACAAAGGCAACAAGATTTAACAGATAGCAATGTTAAATTCAGAATTCCTATTTTGAACACATGAGATACTTTTGTTTTTCTATTCATAATTTTAAACACCTCGTTGCATAAAACATCAGCATTTTTAAATCCCTTTTACAGGGTTTTTACTGTATTGCTTTTTATTTTAGAGAAATATATATGGGTAGAAAGCAGCAGTAGAACAATATAGCAACATTTAAAAAATGTTAAACGTCAAAATGTCAATTCTTTATTTCAGAGTGAAAAATAGGATCTGAGACTGCTGATAATTTTTACCTTCGATATCCTTCGATTAAAAAATCTTTTGAGCGTGCTTTATAATTGCGCAGTAAAGTATAAGCAAAATAAATTAATTAACTTTGTGCAAAGATTTCGGAATAAATATTGTCAAAACCATTAAGATTTTCGTACTCCAGTCTGTGATTGTGTTGTAAACATGTCAGTTGTTGGTCAATGATAAGTGAACTGGTGATATTTCCAAGTCCAAAGTGCGCGTAGTACATTTTGTATTAAAGATTTTGTGACTATCGCAATGTCTATAGAGGAGAAATTCAATGCTGCTGTTAACGTTATCAGGAGCCTTCCAAAAAGTGGTACGATTAAATATCATATTTTTATTATTAGCATATATAAGGGACAATTTCACGAGTATACATTAGGTTATCAATAAATTTAAAAACATCATTTACTTCAACAAATTGCTCAATTGTAAAATATTGAAAGGTCATAATTATCATTTATAAGGTAACAATGTGTGCAATAGACTTTTTGGTATTTGTAGCCGACATTTCTGTTCTTATTAGTGGCAAAAAACCTCCCTAAAACATGTTTTTTGTCATCATTAAAAAAAAAAAAATATGGACCTTAAATAGCAATAAATATAGGTTTTTGGAATTAATATTTATCCAATAATTACATAGCTAGATTTATAAAATTGTGTAGTAGGATTGGATACCTTCACATTAGATACAACTTCAATTAAGGCTATATCTTGATGGCCTTCAGATTCCCTTCTAATGATCTTTAATGTTAAATAACAAATACCAGGAACAGCTACAACATAGTTTCTGGTATCTTAGTACATCATATGTAAGGACTTCTCTCATCTCTTGTCAGATCTACCATATATAAGATGTAACTATATTTTACAATAGCCAATCATGCTGAATCAATTTATTTTTATACCTTCTGTTATAACTATTTAAAAAAAGTCTTTTCTCTGTTAAAAGATTTATTGACAGTGAAGAGACTTTATGTTTTTATTCCTTGATGCTTTGGATTTCTATTGAATCTTTCACTTCCTTCTATATGATCTTATGTTTTTGATTAGATAAATGATAGACAACATTCTATAAGTAAAGATTTTTAGTAACCAATAAAGATAAACATCCATAAAACAATGTGAAGAGGAATGAGGGATTCACAATATACTCATACTTTACATTATGGAAATGTATGATTTCTTTCATTCCTTTAAAGGCTTCCATATCATTTGCAGTAAAAGGTGTAATTATAAAATTATGGCATATTTTTATTTCACACACTTAAACATTTTTTGCGTCGTTTATAAACAGCACATTTTAGCAATGCCAAATTTAAAAATTATAATAAACAGTTGTGGATACTAACTAATATAGATAATATACAAAAATCAATCTATTGTGTTCAAAATGTTACTATGATTTGTTTACTTTCCATATTAAGATTAAATAACCTTAATGTGGTTAACACAAGCCATTTACATATCAAGATAAAGTTTCATATGCATTACAACTTTTATTTGAATATTTGTTAAGGAATTTCTATTTTACAAAAATAGAAAATTCAAGAATAAAAAAAAAATATAAGTTTTATTAATTTACCCCTTGGGCAGGGGACTGGTGTCAAAACTAGGGTCGCAACCTGTGTGATTAATCACCAGGCCTGCCCAATAGACGAATAATCATCATCACCAGTTCACTATATGTGACCACCGAGGGGCTCGGAGCCTACTCTAAGTAAGGGTGACTAGGCCATAGTCAACCACACTTGCCAACTGCGGGTTAGTTGACTTCACACATATATTTCCTCGCCGATATGTGCAGGCTGCATCACGATGTTTTCCTTCACCGTAAGAATGTCGGTTTAATTATGTACATTTGAAAATTAGAAAAATCGAAAATCACATTGGTACATGGCGGGATTCGAACCCAAGACCTGTAGATTACAAGTCAAGTGCATAAACAACTGAGCCTCCGACGCTCCCTCAGACGAATAATGATACATATAAAATAAAAGAACATTATTAATTAACTGAAACAAATAAAAAAAATATTACAGAACAAAATTAAAATTATTTGTGAAGTGTTGATGGGTAATGTGTGATGTGAGTAGGGACATAGTGTCTTTTTCAATTAAAAAGAATGTTCCTTTAAAGGTCGAATATATAGTTTTAACAAATTGTTATACCATTAAAATCTTATCATCAGTTATTCTTACATTCCTCTTTTGGTGGATACTATGTTAAGTGTTGAAAAGTATTTATACGGAAGTTAATTTTATAGCGTAATTGCAGAGACACGCCAGATTTAATGACTTGAGAAATAAATGTGAAGATGTAATTGTAGTAATTAGCTGTAATGCTTTAGTGTTTGTTTTTATTATACTCGGTATCTGCAAGTACTGGCAACTTTTACATAAATTTTTTTACTCATACATAGTTTCTTGAAGCTCTTAAACAGTTATCTGTGGTAGAGCATGTATTGACTGTAGCATCATCAGTAGGTACCCCAGGAGAAACAATGACCAAAGCCTAGAAAATTGTCTATAAAATGCTTACATCTTAGCTGTAAAGCCATCAGACTAGGAATGTTAAGCTAAAAATCTATCTAGGTTAGCTTTGTCTCAATATTCTTGTGAATGAGTCTAATATTTTTTATTTCTATGTAACTATTGTGTTATATTTAGGGTATGTAAAGGTAAGAGGAAATGATGTTTTCTTTTTGGCCCACAAGCCAAGAGGGACAGGCTGAAAATCTGCTTTGACTGGCATTGGTCATATGGTTTACCCTGAGCCTGCCCATTATTATCGCATTTTTTTAAATACAATTACTGTGTATTTGTAAATTTATGACATGATGACAATAAAGACCTTTTTATTTTATTGGTGGCGCGCAGTAGATATGACATACTGTTAGGTGAATGCCCTGTTCTTCATAAAAACAAACAACTGCCGAGCGAATAGGCGATGTGGTTTTTTTGGTGCAAGTCCGTTACGAATAATTTTATTACCACAACTATGCATGCTTCCAAAATGAAAGTAGCGAGTACTATTTGTTTTTTTTACTAATAAGGTATTCTTTCGGTTCGTGAATACAATAACGAAATTCTAATAAGAATAGTAATGAAAGAATTCTTTTATTCAACTTAGTAATTTTAATTTATGTGTATTGATTGCAAATGCGATGACATGAAATGAATATAAAGTAAGTAGAAACAGTATTTGTACAAACGTCATAAATTTTAATGGATACACTTGTTTTTAAAAGGATAAAAACTTTTTTTTTTCGAAATATCGGGTCAAAAATAATGAGCAATATATTGGTTTACCGCAACATCTGTGTGTAGATTTATAAATGCGAATGCAGATTATCAAGTTTGCCTTGTGACACTGTTTGCGTCATACAATACATTCAAAACGATATCAATGTATTTGCAGCTACAATTCAAGGCATAAAAATCGTTTTATAACCTACATCTTATAACTTTTTTATTATCTTTACATGGCGATTAATATTACAATCGCAAGGCAATGCAATACGCGCGGCGAAGTATGTTTTATGTTGAAAGGTTTTAGTTGTTTAAATGTTTGTTTGTAAAAAAATCTGTCATGTTCTACAAAAACAATTAAAAAAGGTATTTTAAGAGTCAAATTAAGCTTGCACTTTGACTTCAACCTTTATTAGTAGTCACTTTAAACTACATATATATTAACTTGTTTTTAATAGTTTTTTTTTTGGTTTTACATTTATTTGATAGCAAATTTTCCTCATCAAATTAAATGTAAAAATATGTTAAAACAAAAATAAAATTAATATTTTGATAAGTACACAAACCGGTTGGACTGGAACCGACCAATGACAGTAATAAATAACAACAATCAACGCTACATTACGCTACAAACATAAAATTTTAAATCGTAAAAACGTTTATAAATGTTGCACAGAGTAGCCATTTACATTATTTTCAGGTAACACTTTACGTATAGTACATAAAAGGAGTGTAAAAACGACAAAGTAAAACATGGTCCCATTCATGTTTCACCCCTTCATATCCATTTTTAAATTTTCATCCTTTATCAAAAAATAACGAGAAGGAAACAAAAATTGGGCTTCGTTCTTCACATATCAGTTATAACATATTTGTTCGTAAAATGATAAGAAAATAGCCCATCTTACAGATAAATTGCCTTTCTAACGGTGAAAGAATGTTTAAAATCGGCCCAATAGCTTCTTTATTATATTAGCGTAGAAGACGGATTATAGAGTAGTATTTGTTTAAGAATAGTAACAAAGTATGAACGGACTATAGTAAGCCGATGTTGACCGGCGTCAAGTTATGCAACTTATCGATGTAATATGGCTTCATGTCATCAGGGCTGACCCAGATATGAATTGTATTCATAACGATAGCGTTGTGCGTTTAACATATGAGATTTTTTAAATTTTACTCGTACTTTCTACCAATTATATTACGCTATATAACCATTCTCTTGGAACTTTCGAAAGTAATATGAACATCTGGAAAGATTACGATCGCTAAGCCCTTGTAATGCATGTAAAGAAACCATTTGTTTTCTGTGATTGAAATGCGTTTTATATTTTTTATTGAAGACGTTCGCTATACCAGCAACCAAGATTAATGAATCTTTAGAAGTGCCAGAAAATTCGATTGTTGTCTCCATATGACCCTAAGAGTTCGAAGCCTATACAAGTCAAGCTATACTTAACAGAAAGTAAATGTTTATTGTTACATACGCTTGTGTCTAAACACTGGTCACTTTAGCTTTGGGTACAGTTTCAGTAAATTACTATTACGTATTCCGTCTTTGAGAGACCGATAGTTTGCATAACTAACGCTTTTAACTATTTACTTTCTTATTGGTAATGTCGGAGATGTCTTTGTAAATGTTTACATATTTCTGTGATTTCTTGTTCAAACTTGTCAATGCTATAAATGTTATTTTATGTATACATTAGACTTCCAATTGCATCAGTATCTTGTAATTGATCAGTATCTTGAATGTAGGTATCTTTTAGCGATCTGTTTCTTAAAGCGCCAATAGCCTATAGTCTATGTGTGAAGTGGTCGTGAGTTCGAATCTCGCCATTCGGATATTGATAAAAATATAACATGCCCATCTATATGAGGTAACCTTCAGTGAAAATCCGGTCGAAATCGGCCCAGCCATTTCAGAGATTACCCGAAGCGAACGCGACTTGCAGACAGGCAGACAAAAATTGTTTTAAATGTGATTTTCGTCATTAGCAACTAGCAACCCAAATACGTCATCTTATCGAAATCTGGAATATATCTATTGATTTACAAACAGCCATTCCAATTTTATTATATATCTAGATAGATGTGGGTTAACAAAAATTCTGTTGATTTTTAATAAAAAAAAATTAAAAAAGTAGTTAACGTGTTTCTAGAATTTAGTTAGCAGTTTCTCTAACTATTAAAGAGTTCATATTGTAGCAAGTTTCCAAGTCCCGAAGTACTACGTAATGACGCTTGAGTAACTGTTACCATACTTATAGTACGCTATGTGATTATCATACAAACAGTTCATTAAGTATAGTAACATTGATGCCAAACTGTTACCACATATCTACTTTCATTGATTGCAAGAGGAAAGTATTGCTTAGGGCCGAAGACATTTAACTAAATAGACTAGACATTAACAAACTTTGTCATAAAAATCGTACTACTCGATACAGTTTCTGATACACGCTTTTATACTATTCAGAGATTGCTTTGCTATTCAATGTCCGTTCTATCATTTTTGTTATGAATCTCTTTAGGGTATTCTCAATGTGGTCAAATTGATCGATCAAACGTCACGGAATTTTACTGGACATTGACGCCTAACCTTCGTAGCTCTTGCATAACTACATCCATCGCCGAAATAAACAGTGAAAGCAAGATCTATGCTCTATCTTTTTAATAGAAATTTTTGTTGAAACTTTTATCTGTGTTTTTATAAATTATTTATTTATATAATAATAGTGTTGTTTTTGAAATACGTGAAGATAACATTGATATGTTGTTTCATTGATAATTATTTCGAAATTTACGCGAAAGCCTTCATTAGATTGTATTTATTATTGATATTCAATCTATACCAATATTATAAAGAGAAAAAATTTGTATTTTTGTATGTATTTGATTCACGCAAAAACTACTGGGCCGAATTTAAAAGTTATTTCACTGTTAGAAAGGTAATTTAATCTGTGAGTAACATAGGCTATATTCTGTATTATGATTTAATTTCACGAAGGCAAAGACGCGAGCAACAGTTAGTGCTAAATAATAAGCGGATAAAAATTTACATGTGTCGCTCTTTTGGTAAAGACTAAAGTTTAATGTCAAGGAGTAATTTCCCAAACAAACTATTTTATTATTAGCGTCAATGATAGTGACATAGCACATGCAATCTCCAGAACATTATTTATAAATGTGTAATCAATACAACATTAGTAAATAATATGCAAATCGAAATTAATTAATTTAACTTCAATTTTTCATTGCATACTCAAAAAAGAGTTCTTTTTGTAACAGTTATATTATGGATCGAACTTTAAATGTATCATAGAACTGAAAACAAGTGGAAAATAACCACGAAAGATACGTTGAACCCGTAGCGTGCACAAGACACATATTTAAACTTAAATATAATAGATTATATATTTACTCTATTTGAGTTAGAAACAGCCCCATACATTGAATTATGCAATTTTATATAGACTGTGTATCTCATAAAACTTATGGCCTTACTGTTTCGTCTATCGATGTAATTTTTTATAATAGAAGGTGGCAAACGAGCAAGAGGTTTCTGTAAAATTTCTGCTAGATTTAAAAGATTGCAACTGCGTTCCCTTTAATGGTAGAGCGGAAGAGAGGATGTCCACATTTCAATATTTTTTGTGTAGAATCTCGAATGTTCTACAGTATATTTAAGCTTTTTTATTTGTAGAGTATTGTTTTACAGAGATGTGTAAAGGTCATCGTGTCCGATGCATAACAGACAAAGAGTAATTACTCATTATCTTTGTAATATAAATGTTGGTTTGATGATCTCTCGGAATGTTCATAACTTTACAAATAATTTAATATGGACAAATTGAATTATTTGTTATTTGATTTTTACCTAGTTTCTAAAACTTAACATAACTTGTGTTTATATAACATAGCATGATGTATAAAATAAATATCGTCATAGTTATTTACTTTTAAATGTTTTTATCCTTGTACACAATATAATAAACTAGAACTTTGATACGACTTGAATACTTAGGAATTATTACGTAAAGTAACAATATTTCGTCGCTGATCCTACGGGAGTAGGATAAGGCAAGGGAAGGAAGGAGATGATAAATATTTTGTAATGAATCATATAGTTTTATATTTATTTTTAATGCGTTTTGTCAACAGGTTCATATCAGCCCAGCAATGAACTGATGCTGAGGTTCTACAGTTACTACAAACAGGCGACAGAAGGGCCTTGTGATAAACCCAAGCCAGGCTTCTGGGACGTAGTAAATCGGTTAGTGTTTTTATAAAAAGGTACAAATGAGCTTAGGATTGCCTTCTATTAATACATAGCTCATGGATATTATGAATTGAAGACTGTTATGATACAAATAAACTGATTTTCGATAAAATTGTTTCAGAGCAAAGTGGGAGTCATGGAACAAACTAGGCAATATGACGAAAGACGAAGCGATGTTAGCATATGTTGACGAATTACACAGGGTATGTAATTACTATTCTGCGTAAGATTAAATATTGCATTGCAACTAGTAACAATAATCTTTAGCTCTTAAACTCCGACACTTAAAGATCTTCCAAGCAATAAGTACCAATATTTTTTTATTACAACTTCAGATCGTCGAGACAATGTCGTATAGTTCCGACGTGGCGTCTTTCCTGTCACTGGAAGACGATGACCAGGGCTGTCTCGGCAATGACCTGGAGTTGGTCGCAGGCGATGTGCTGGCCCGCGTGCGTTCCGAACACAATACACCAATAGGTACGTCGATACGAGTTTTCTAGAATTAAACCCTCTTTTAAATGCTGGAATAATCGTATTCGTAGTATATCTAAAACATTAAATTATTAAGTAAAGGGAGTTGCAGATGACTGTTTTGTCATAAAATATGGAATAAACTATGTGAAAACTTGCAGCTGTTACTTGTAAGTCAGGTTGTGTATTGATTTTCAAACATGTGATTTCAAGGCAGTCAATTCTAGGGTAATTTCTAAATGTCGCGGGCCTTGAATAAAACTTATACTAATATCATAAATGTGAAAGTTTGGATAGACAGATGTTTGTTACGAGTTTGTAGCCTAAACAGCTGAACGGATCTCAAAAAAACTGCCATGGATGTAGAGAACCTTTAAGAACAAGGCTACATAGTTCTTTGGATACGTGGATGAAGTCGTAGTTTGTATGTAATTTTTTATTTGAAAGTATCGTTTCAATTGATTTTATCGATGTTTTCTATATGATACTAAATTAAAGTATGGGTAAACGTTATTATTTGAATGGTTCTGCAGGATCTCGGTCAGTGAGCGGGGCGTCGTCGCCGGTGCGCAGCGCCTCGCCGCCGCGGAACCGACACGACTCCGACGACGAGTTTATAGACACTGTTGATGTTAGTACTGAAATTAATGATAAATGCAAATATTTATAACTTTGTTATACATAATTATGTGTAGCAATAGTTAGTAGTCAAATTACTGTAAAGATTATATTCATCATCATCATCATCACCAGCTCACTATACGTCCCCACCGAGGGGCACGGAGCCTACCCTAAGTAAGGGGTGACTAGGCCATAGTCAACCACGCTGGCCCAGTGCGGGTTGGTTGACTTCACACATATCTTTGAATTTCTTCGCCGATATGTGCAGGTTGCATCACTATGTTTTCCTTCACCGTAAGAACGTCGAAAAATGCGGAAAAATCGAAAATCACATTGGTACATGGCGGGATTCGAACCCAAGACCTGTAGATTACAAATCAAGAGCCTTAACCACTGAGCCACCGACGCTCTAGATTATAGACGCTAAACATTATATTAGTATAGATTTATTTAAATCGTAAATTAAAATAATGAAAGTGTAAACACACAGTTTGTTATGTAGGAGGTCAGCAATCACAGTATATTTTTGAATAATTCTTTTTTAATTAAAAGCTCTACACTTGGACAAGCTTTTGGCTAAATTTTTTCACGCTATTAAACTTAAACTAAAGGAGAGTAAATTGCAAGCAAATCGCAACAAAGAAAGGTTGCCGAGGCAATATTTAGCTGATAGCAAAGGCCATCGTTATCACTTGAGAATTAGAATTTAGAAATTTTGCAATTTTAGTAGTAAATAATACAATCATTTTTATTGATCAAAATATATGTTTGCGGCTCTACCTTCTGAAGTAGGTTAAGGAGGCACTTTACTCTACTACCTCTTTTTGACCGACTTCCCAAAAGAAGGAGGTACTCAATTCGTCGATATATATTGGGTTTTTTTTTTTTTTAGGGTCTAGAATTGTTTTTTCTCCTCAAGTATAGTAATTTAGGGTTTACTTAACCATAACTTGTTAACATGTGCATTGTGTTTTGCAGAGCGATCCCGAGACGCAGCCGCCGGCTCCCGAGCCACGACTCAGTAATGGACACGCACATCAGATCACATCACAACTCACACGTAACACATATAAATATACTTTGAAATTATTGTCTTTATTAATATTATAAAGGGGAAAGATTTGTATTTTTGTATGTATTGAAATAACACAAAAACTACTGGGCCGATTTCAAAAATTTTTTAACATTTAAAAAGTTACCTTATCAGTGTGTAACATAGGCTGTATTTTTTTTATTATTTTTTTAAAAAACAAAAGTAAGTAGCCTGTTTTTCCAGACTATCTACATATACATATGCCAATTTTCATCAATATCTGTACAATAGTTTAGGCAACAAACATCCATACATTCATCTAAATTTTCGCATTTATGATATTAGTAAGATAATTGGTAAGATTAGTAGGATTTTATGGAATACACTTAATCATACTTCATACTTATATTATAAATGCGAAAGTTTAGATGGATGTTTGTTAGTTTGTAGCCTAAACTGCTCAACGGATTTTGATGAAATTTGGTATAGATGTAGAGGATAGTCTGGAAGAACACATAGGATACTTTTTATCCCGGAAATAGTTACGGTTCTTTTGGGATGCATTAATGTTGTATTTAAATGTTTACTCGATAATTCTGCAACGGTTCAACATATCTTATTGAAATTTGGCACAGATATAAAACAAAGTCTGGAGTACACATGGGATAAGGTTTATCTCCGTAAATTATCCGGTTCCCAAGGGACACGTTATTTACATAGTTCGTCTGTTTTCTACTACCACGCGGACGAAGTCGCGAGCAACAACTAGTTTAAGTTATATTTGGTACAGATTTGAAAGTACTGGAGCAGTTGCCGGGCGCGCTGGCCCGCCTCGAGGCCGACGTGGCTGCGCTCAGGAAAGCTGTGGAAGGAGACCGTCGTCTGCTAAATGTAAGTAGATAACGATTTGTACTGAATATTGACAGTTTTTCTCAGTATTACTGAATAATATTCGCTCAAAGAATCCTCGACCATATTAAAATGTAGTTAAAGCTTATTTTTCCGTATTGCTTATTCTTTGTAACTGTTATATTTGTGTACTTAATAACTGTTTGAAATAACTCTTTAATCCTCGAACGTTTACATTCAGAATGAGCTGGCGCCCGTAATGTTTGTTAGTACGGAATTAAAAAAAAAGATCGTCTCTATATTTCCGTGGGCATCAGCTATCTTTTTATCGAGGTCCCTTCAAAATGTGTCCTTGTTGTTTGATGACGTCACAGCACTCCGACATACTCCGGTCGCGTTTAATAAAACTGCGAATACGCAACAAGAATAATGCATTTTTGGTTATTTTCTAGCTAAATTCTTGGGCACTTTCTGTTCTACTTATTTCTGGTTTTCTATACATATAATATTCTTGGAGTGTCTGTTTGTAATATCAAAAGAAAAAAAAAACCGATTTCGGCAAGATGCATTTGCGTTGCTGATATCGAAAATCGCATGTCTGTCCGCAAGCCGCGTTTGTTCTGTAATCTCCGAAACGGCTGGGCTAATTTCGTCCGGACTTTTACTGGAGAGTAGCTGACATAGACGGGCATGTTATAGGTTACTTTTTTTTTAAATTCCACGCTGTCAAAATGGTGACAGGACCGCCATCTCTGGAATGTTTGGACCGATTTGGACGGGTCTTTGACTGAAAGATAGCTGGTAGAAGGTAGATGCACGCAAGAATGTGATAGATGACTTTTTTTTAATTCGAGCTAACGAAATTTGCGGGCAACAGCTCGTCTTACAATAAGTAGTACATTTGAAAAAGAAAATAAACATGCATGTTTCATGGTATTTGTTGTTTGTGTTGCAGCAAGTGTCCCGGTGCGGCGGGTGCGGCGCGGGCTGGCGCTGGCCGTGGCAGGAGCTGAGCCCGCCCACGCTGCTGCTGCTGACGCTGTGGCCCTTCCTCGCCTACCGCCTCGCCGCCCGCCTGCAGCGCAACACGCGCTAACACACTGACACGTTAGTGTACATTCTGACACCTCAGTATACACTCCCACACGTTATTATCTCTAACACGTTAGTAACTCTAACATGTTAGTAACTCTAACACGTTAGTAACTCTAACACGTCAGTAACTCTAACACGTTAGTAACTCTAACACGTTAGTAACTCTAACACGTTAGTAACTCTAACACGTTAGTAACTCTAACTAGTTAGTAACTCTAACACGTTAGTAACTCTAACATGTTAGTAACTCTAACATGTTAGTAACTCTAACATGTTAGTAACTCTAACACGTTAGTAACTCTAACACGTCAGTAACTCTAACACGTCAGTAACTCTAACACGTTAGTAACTCTAACACGTTAGTAACTCTAACACGTTAGTAACTCTAACTAGTTAGTAACTCTAACACGTTAGTAACTCTAACACGTTAGTAACTCTAACACGTTAATAACTCTAACACGTTAGTAACTCTAACTAGTTAGTAACTCTAACACGTTAATAACTCTAACACGTTAGTAACTCTAACACGTTAGTAACTCTAACACGTTAGTATACTAATTAACATTTATCAGTCTTATTCACGTTTGTCTTCCGTTATACCGATAGATCTACGCAATGGTCCTTTTTTCGTATTGGTTTGATTTATTAGTATTCGACAGAAACTGATTTTTCAGCTGAAACGGAAAGCTAACTTTCGGCATTGCTCTACTTCGGCCGAAATTGAAACTGAAACTTTCTAAAACACATTTAGGACAGTGTATTTTTAACTACTATTTTTACATATACAAATATAGGGTTTTTAAAAATAACTCCTACTTTATACGTTTCATATGGCTGCAATTTCTCAGTATCAACATTTCCTGTGCTATATTTCGAATACGTTATAGTTAACCGAATGTGGCATATATTCAATAATTTTTTTTTTTTACTTTCAGATTTTGTAAGGAGGTTTGGGGATATGTGATTTAGGATAAGGCATTTCGTGTTCGATGATTTAAATTGTGTAATGGTAACACTCATTCTACGGATATGACGTATCCGGTACAATGAAGTGTTCCTGAACTGGCAACACTACTGTTAATATTATTTAATCTATATCGTGTTATTCTATATGTTGTAATATTATGACATGATATATTTATGATGTTTTATTCTCAAAAAGTGATAGGTATATTTTTTTTAAATTTTGGAATCTTTTTTGACATTTAATACCTTCTAAATTGGAATGATGTTTGACTGTCTTACTGTATGGCATATGAACCGGACATTGATGAAATAATATGATTTTTTTAGATACTGTCTCATTTCTTTGTATTTTAAGTACATTATCAAGGAACTAGTCTAATACAGGCCTGACAATTTCATATGAAAAGACATGATAGTAGAAAATTTGCATTTTGTGTATTTTATTATGGGTCTAAAAGTTTACGGGGTTTTGGTTTATTGTAGATTGTTAATATTAATACGTATAATTTTTGATTTATTATGTGTTTAATTTCAAATATTTGTACCTAAAAATGTTTAAGAAATCAGACTTTTGTAAAAACCATTCCTTTTCGTTATTTAAGTTTAATGAGAGAAACTGATCTGGCATTATAAAGGTGAAACTACAGTATCGCCTCGTTAATGTTAAGTATAGACCTACAAGGATATCTAACCCGGTGGGAATAAGTCGAACTAAATTATGACAGTTCAATAACGTCACAATGTCAATGTTAGTGTCAGTCTTTGTTGTCACAAGGCCTTTCTCGGTTATTTACTTTTCAAAGAAGGTTTTACATATTTTTTGACATAACTAACAGATAGCATCGCCTCTTACCGAGCTAGATAATCCTTAATCCTTGTTTTATTATATTTTAAAATCCATGTACTCTATTTCGTATTGTCCCCTTTTGAAATTCTAACAAATGTCACCGGGTCAAATAAATTTTTCGCACTGCAAATGATTTGTGAAAATTCTGATTTAATTTGTAAAATTAAATAAACCAAGTGGATATTATGAACAATTAGTTCCTGCTTTAAATCAATATGGTATGGATTTAAGATTAAAACGTGTTACCTGTTTTTTTTTATAGTTAAAGATATATTTTCTCAAATTTTATTTTCATTATAAGTATAGTTGTTTTATGTTGGTTATGTGCGTAATTTTATGTGATATTTAGATAATTAAAGTACATTATTTCTAACACGTTTGTTTTATTACTGTGACTTTCCACTTCTGAAACATCACATTTTACTAAAATTATAAATGAGAACATTTATATAGATGTTAAAAGTTTTTTTATCTATCTTTTGCTGAACGAATCTTGATAAAATTTGTTACAGATGTAGAACATAGTCTAGAAGAACACATAGGCTACCTATCATGATTTTTTATTCTACACGACCGGAACCGCAGGTAAAAGCTAGTAAAAAATAAAAATACCATAAATACTTGTAATACTTTATTTTAACGTAAAGTGAATCGTAATACCGGTCATGATTTTTCAAAGTTATTAATTTCAAAGAATAAGTAAATTTCAATGGGTTTTTACTGCAGCGATACTTGTATGGACAAGTATATCCATCCCTTACATTCCCTTTGGAGAAATAGAGACAAAATATGTGTCAAGATGTGCAGTCAAAACCCACAATTTTCATAAACAATTTTATATTTAAATTGAATTAAGACACTTATAAATCGAAGAAATACAATCGAGACGAATTTTAAATCTGATTAAATTTAATTTGTCACAAATATTATTAATATAAAAACTATAAATTAAACAAATACAGGTATCTAATGGACATACACCAAATTAAAATTATTTATAAAACAACAAAACATTTAAAACAATCACATGGTGTTTCTTAAAAAGATTGAAAATGATGCAAATTTAAAACCCGTAAATAACGTAATAAATAAAAGTAAAAAAAACTACAATCGACTTCTTTCGTGGATTTTAAGGACAAATTATTATTTTGTAAAAACTATTTGTTAGAAAGATTTAAACAAATATGACATTTAACTTGTTAATCATAAAGTCTAGAATTGAATAAGTATTTTTATGAGGCGGTAAAGAATAAGGTTGCTAAAAAGCTAGGCGAAATACAGTAATAAACGGAATGTAAATATACGCATATTGAATATAAGTCAAGACCTAATCCTATTCGAGACACAAACGTCTATTTGTGTATGTTTTCTTAGAAGACAATTTTAAAAGACCCCGTAGACTACAGACTTTATCGTGTTGACTTGTCAACCTAAGATCATATAAAATTAAAATCGGTGTAATGTTCGCAATTCCATACTTATTCATAAGGTTGTAACGGAGGCCATTTTAACGGAAGCGGAAGCGAGGGGCTTCACCTCTGCAGAAGCGGATGTTAACGGAAACGGAAGCAGAGGTCAATAATACAATATTAATTTCGATTTTTAAAGAAATAAAAACTAAAATTACGTTAATTCAAAATACAGATTGGTGCATAATTACAAGATACAGTTTATTACGCAAATATATTGTGTAACAATTATAGTTAGTTGACCTAGCAAGCACGCGCGGACCGCATAAACCATACCTAATTGCTCAATTCGCGTTAAAAACGTAAATTAACCTCCGTTATAACTCCGCATAAGAAATAACGAAAGCGGATGCGGAGATAATATTTCTAGCGGAAGTTCCGTACTTGCGAATGCGGAAGCAGAAGAAAGACTTCTGTTACAACCCTACTTATTCATGTTGATTATTTGTACAAAATGTGCGGGGTCGATTAAACTTGCGATTTTGCACATTCGATTTTTTATTACAATTTCATTTGCAACTCAACATGCGTAATTCCTTTAACATTTAGTGTAAAAAAACAAAAATAAGGTACTGATTTCTTAAAAAGAAATTTAAAAGTAAACTTAACAAAGTAAAAAAACTAACATGGCTCGTTAGGAACTTAACTATTTACAAAATAAAATCACATTTTAATATCGTTAATTAACAATAAAATAATATACAACAAGCTTTTGTACTTGTGAAAACAAATGTTAATTAAAAAAATGTAACAAAATCAAAAATTGTGCCAAAAACAATAACTATAAGAATATCAAATTCTATGTATGGTCTATACTAAACAATACTTTTCTATTTTAACCTTACAGTATCTATTTAGCTCGTATTGTGGGAATAAAATTAAAAAATACTAACATAACTATAGTACCATTTGATTTGGCAATTGGGGAAAAGATTTCCTCCAATGTGCCAATTCAAACGCGTACATCTCTTATAATTATTTTACGTGAGGTAACAATTTGTACTTTACGTTTCAAATCCTGTTTAGTTCCAAATAATAACTTTCGGTAAAATTATATTTTATACTAACTAAGGTCATAAAAATTACAAAAGAAACACCCTTTGTACTATAAAATCGGTAAACACCAAAATGACGAATCAAACATATTTTCAGGTAAAAATAAAATTGATAAAAAAATTAAAACAAAAATGACATGCAAATGGTTTTTAAGATAAATACGTCTGAATTATCTAAAGGACACTCAAAGGTCAAAAGGCTCCATTAAAATTTAAACTAAACAGGATTTGAAACGTAAAATACACTAAATTTTGCATTTGTCGACGTCAGTTTTCTAATGTAACTATACGATAAAGCTTGTATCTAGCTACAGTAAATACAATGTAACACTAATCAAACTGTTTTGCGATTAACTTCACTTAAAATCACGGTTACTTAACATCAGAAAGAATATACAGCGTGTCTCAAAATCCAACGTCACATTGTCATCACAAAAAAGTATCTGATTATTAATAAATTATTTGATTATTGTTTCAATCTCTATGTTGAATTTTGGAACATCCTGTAATTAGAGTATATATCGGGCAAAATGTAATAAGATGTAATGTAAATGTTTACAGCAAGGATTTTTTTTAAATGATTAAGAATTTGTGCCTAAAATTTTGATTATAGCTTAGAAGAGTAGTATGCAATAATGATGTATTTTTATAATTTTAGTTGTATCGACAAAATATTTGAGATTAAACTTTTAGTTAAGTAAATAATTAAAAATAAATTAGACAAATTATTCATGTTTTGCACTAATTTGCCATTGATTTTTTCAAAGATCAAAAAATACTTGATTCGACATACGTAATACTTGATTTGTAATATTTTACTAATACAATTGCGATTTAAAAACATAAATAAATAAAAAAAATAACAACATAACTTGCACAGCATTTGCTGTACAGACGGCAATTAAAAATCACTATCTACCAATACATACACAAAATACTTCAATCGCAGATAAAATAGTAATAGAAAGGACAAATACATAAAATTATCACATCAAATAAGTTAAAACAGTAAGTTACAAGCTATTTCCGAACATCATCCTGTCATCGTATAGACTCAGTCTGTTGCACTCACTCGCACGGCCTTTCTGTAGCGCTCTGTCTCGCCTCGCGCGCCGCACCGCCGCCGGCAAGTCGCCCGGCGTCTTCACACGCCCCGCGGGGTTTTGCAAATTCACACTACCAGATGACGAGAATATCTCACTAACGTGCTCCAAGGAATGTTGTCGTTTTATAGATAAAGATTTTAAAGGCGGTTTCGGTGATTTCGGACTTTCATCAGTCGGTGGTGTTAGAAATTTCAATTCCGTCGTATCGATCTCTCCGTTCAATGCTGCTAAATATACGGGATTATCGCCACTGTATCCATTAACAGCGTTCTCTTTGTCATTCGGATCGCTGAATTCGTTATCGAAATTGGCGTATTTATTGGCATATTTGTTAAATGCGTAATCGGTTTTCGTTTGACCGGTCTCTTTAAGGACTTCGTTCTGGAGACGTTTT